TCATATAACCTAGCTTCTTTATAATAATTTTTAGCTGCTTCATGAGCTCCAGATTTACGAAGATAATCATAAACAAATGCTTCTAATAATCGATGAATTTTTTTATGAGTTCCTTCTCTTTGATCGAAATTATCCGACATTTTTTTTTTTCTATCCGTAAAAAATATATATATATATATGTAAATTTCGTGACCTTTTATCCTTTCATGAGAAAAATCTTGTAAGGTTTATTATTTATGCATTAATAATCAAAAGTAGTGACATAATTATTTTTTTAAACAATTTAACCAATAACTTGTAATTTAGTTGAGACTAGACTTAAATGATGTATTATTATAAGCACATATACATATTATATTATATAATTAAATTTATTATGGTAATGAAAAAAAATTTTTTTTTATTAAATATAATATAAAATAGGTAATAAAAATATTCATTTTTAATTCTCTAAATTAAATAATCAATTACTTGAAGATTTTCTTAATCTCTCAATCTCTCCTTTTAATATATCTAACGCAAATTTTTCATAATTTATAACTTCGATCTCTTCTTCTGCCGTTCTTTTAACCTGCCACCAGCATAAATCCGTTTCTTTTAATTCTTTCCAAAACATAGCCTCCTCACTTTCTGTCTCATGTGTACCAGCTAAAACTTGTAAAGCTTTTAACCATTGAGCCTCATAATGTTTTTGTGCTTTTGTTGCAGAGTCCAATTGAATTTTAAGGTTTTGTATTTCTGCTTGAAGATTTTGAGTATTGGCTTGTAATTGTGATTGCATTTCCTTTTTTCGTTGCTCGAATTGTCTGTCTAATTCCAACCAACGTCGTTCAAAATCTTTTTCGGCTCTTAATAAGCTTTCATCTCGCGTTTGAAAATATAAGATGGATTGTTGTAACTGTCGATCTATTGACTTCAGTTGTTGAACCTTAGATTTAAGTGAACTTTGATTTTTGGCATTTTTCTTTTCGTCTGCAAGTACTTCTCTAGTAAACTTTAGGTTTTCTTCGGCTTGTTGGAATATATCTGAACGAAATGTTGATAAAGATAGTGAAAACCTTTCACATTCATTTTTCGTTCCTGACAATGACGTAGAAGAACGAGATGATGATTGTCTTTCCATAGGTTGAGGTTCCTCGGGAACCGGTGATCCGCTGGAAAGTTCGGATAAGTTAGTTCCACTATTAGAGTTTGCCAATATTGTTTTTTGTTTCTCTCCATAATCTTCTAGTCTTATGGAAACGCTTATATGACCCATTTCTCGCGATGTGACTAAACCTACTGATTTTATTGGAGTTAAAGTAGTAAAAGTTTGAACTTCTGCTTTACTTTCTTCATCTATGGTAGGTAAAGATAAGAAAACTTCTTCCAAACGTAATGTAGCAACACCTATTTGTACATCCGTAGGTTCATTATTTTGCCATATTTCCATAAGCAAAGGTACTGCTTCAAAGTATCTTTTAAGTTTTTGGTGAGTCATCGTAACATCAATTGTACTAGTTCCATTAACTAATAATACATCTGAACCAGCTTCTACGTTCGGAATAACCTGTGTGGATTTATTAGAAATACCTAACGCTGGATAGCTATAAATAATAAATATGTTTTTGATGTCCTTATTTAATTTGATCGATTCTAGAACAATCAAAATGCTATACTTATGCTCGCTATTTTGTTCTCGAGTAAGCGCTTGATCTACATTTTCCGAAGGTATTGATTGTGGTTTTTCTATGGCAATTGGAGACGAAGTTAAAGATTCATTTTCAATTAAAGTTTCTGTATTTTCTCTTTTAAGAGTTAAGTAAATTCCGATTCTTGCGATTTGTACATCTGCTGATACAGGTAACTCTCTTTTAGTATTATAAATCGGACAAACTCTGTCCAAAGAACGTGGTTCACCCGTCTTTAAATCGAAAAGACCTTTCAAGGGTATGTCAGAAAACCCAATTATTTGATCATCATGATACAAATTAATGACTAGATTAGATTCTTTTTCAAGAAAATCTTTCATATCCTTTAAAGATGAAAGAATTCGAAAAGTTGCTGTTTCAGGTATTATATTTGGATGTGTAAGGTCATAAAATTTGGTTGATATGATTGTACTTTCAAAAATTGTGTATTGAAAAAAGTATCCATGAGTTGAAAGATCAGGTTCATCGACTTCAGGAAACTGCTGCTGCGTGATAAACGAAATCGTATCTTGCAACAACAAATGTAAATTAGCACCAAAATTAATTGTAATAGCAAAAAGGAAAATTTCCGATCCATCTGTGCCAATTCGATATAAATCATCATCATCATATTTTTTTTCTTCTGCATTATTAATTGTATTTTTTACATCATCCTGGTCATCCCCAAAAAGGTTTTCAACAGACTTTCCCAAAGGACTAGGCACATATCCTAAAGGGGTAGGTGTCGATGGTGGTGACATATTTGGTAATATACAAAATCCAATATTAATTTCGGGACGAAGACCCCTTACTCTAGGATTATGAAGAGAGATCCATTTCTCTTTTCCGGGACGTTCTGATGCAGTTCTCAGATCCAGCATAGAATAACCAACCAATTCACTTCTATCTGGTGAATTTACTGAAAAACATTGTAGTTTTAGATGTGCCCATTGAGAACGAAGAATGAGTAAAGTTTTATGATCCACCTCCCAAGCAAGCTCAGTATTCCATATTGGAGATGATGTTTGTTCTACTGTATCAGTCGATAAAATATAATTTGAATCAGAACTGATTAACGAAAGTGTATCATCGATGAACCTGCATTCTACATAGAGCTTCGAATTTTGATTTTGTGTAAAATATCGTCCTATTTTAAAACGAATTAAAATTTAAAAATCGAAAATATATATAATGATTTTAAAAACTCATAAAAGAATACTAACCCTCAATAACTGTGACAAGAATGGTATATAAAGGGTTAAACTTTGACATTTTAGCTCGCTTTATGAATTTAAAATGTAAAGAATTTAGGCGGAGATGTATTGTATTTATATAGAACTATTCTGCAGTTGTGCAATCAATCATGGTGACAAACATTTCCATTATTATCGTCATCATCTATCTAATCACATTTAATTACCGTTAAAATGTTACGCATTGTTGAATTTCTTTATACATGATCATCGGAAACAATTTTTCGAGTTGTTAGAATTTTTTTTTTTTTCCACATCATGAATTCTATGGAATTTGAACTTCTCGAAACAATCTTATATGATCCACCCGCTGGTACATACATTTTTCTTTATATATATACAAAATATATTATAACGGTGCATATTCCCTAACGTTAATTCAGGATTTTTTTTACTTGATAAACACTTATCACGTATAAAAAAATCTTCTATTTATTTTTCTGAAAATTACGGATTTTTTAAAAAAATTGCAACTCCAAAGTTTAGTAATTTGATCGGGACGAAACTATACCAATGTGTTGAAAAGTTGGGAGAAAATGTTAAGCAGAGAGTAATTATTATAAAATTTCTTTATCGTAAAGTATGAAAATTTTTTTTTTTTATCTATTTTAAAATTTATCTTTTTTAAAAATCATAGGTAAGGTTAACTATAAACAAGGATGGAATACCAACCGTGTCAAGCACTATTTTACAACCCTTGACATCATCACCAGGTTAATTTATAATCAGTATTGGCAATTTGGCTGGCAAATGGCCGCAGCAAAAATGGCCAAACCTATTAT